GTCACATATAGAAATTTTTTGATATTTGCAACCATAGTAAAACAAAGACTTATATTTTTGATATTTATTTTATACTAGAGGCCCGGTGCACAAAAATTTGTGCACTGGGGGGGGCGGGCTAGGGAGGGGGGTCCCCCAGCCCGGCCTGTGCCCTCTCGCAGTCTGGGACCCCTTGGGAGATAACGACCTGCTGGCTTAGGCCTGCTCCCGGGTGGCACAGGGCAGGCCCAATCCCTAAGTGCAGCCCCTGGTCAGGCTCAGAGCAGGGCCGATTGGGGAGTTGGGGCGCCGCCCCGTCATGCACAGAGCAGGGCGGATCGGGAGGTTGCGATGCCACCCTCAGTCACGCTCAGGGTAGGGCCAATTGGGGGGTTGGCGCACCGCCCCGTCACACTCAAGGCAGGGTCGATGGGGAGGTTGCGGCGCCACCCCCTGTCACGCACAGAGCAGGGCCAATCAGGGGATTGAGGAGCTCCCCCCTGTCACACACAGAGCAGGGCCGATCAGGGGGTTGGTGTGCTGCACCCTGTCAAACAGAGCCGCAGGGCAATCAGGGGATTGGGGAGCTCCCCCCTATCAGGCACAGAGCAGGGCTGATCAGGGGGTTGGGACGCCTTCCCCTGTCACGAACAGAGCAGGGTGGATAGAGAGGTTGTGGCCCCGCCCCCTGTCACACACAGAGCTGCAGGGCGATCAGGGGGTTTGGGCGCTGCCCCCTGTCACGCTGATCCCAGTGCCGGGAGGCATATTACCCTTTTACTATATAGGATAGAGGCCTGGTGCATGGGTAGGGGCTGGCTGGTTTGCCCTGAAGGGTGTCCTGGATCAGGGTGGGGGTCCCCACTGGGGTGCCTGGCCAGTCTGGGTGAGGGGCTGAGGGCTGTTTTCCGGAAGCGAGTGACTAAAGCTTCCAACCGCTCCTTGTTTTCTTTTCTTTTCTTTTTTTTTATTCTTGGCCAGCTTTAGCTCTGAGGCCTCGCTGCTGAAAACATTGATACAATGTTTCGGTCCGCCTGGCTTTCAGTCCGGCTGGGTTTTGCTTAGCTTCTTATTTGCAACATAGTACATAGTTGCTTAGACTTGCAGCTGAGAGGCCGGCAAGTGAGGCGGGGAACGTTGGAGTCCGCAGCAAGCAAGCCTCATGCTCGCTTCAGTGCCTGGCTGCCGGCCGCCATCTTGGCTGACAGTTAATTTGCATATACTCACTGATTAGCCAATGAAAAGGGTAGCGGTCGTACGCTAATTACCATGTTTCTCTTTTATTAGTGTAGATATTTAAACGTCATTTAACAAAGAAAAATCAACCAAAAAAATGAGTTCGTGTGTCACCTCTGACACGCGTGTCATAGGTTCGCCATCAATGGCCTACAAGGTCAGTTTCCTCAACTGTAAAAACACATTTTGTCATTAAGTTCCCTTTTAACTTTAAAAACTATTCTATGACTATATACATTACATATACATACACACATTTTTATGTATATCTCAGTGTATACTTTTTTCACACCAGGTATAGGAAGAATTCTATTCTTCCATAACTTTGTATTTGTGGATGTGTGTGTGCATTTGTTAAGTGTATACAGGTTTTCATCATGTATGAAACCTGCTGAACAAACCAAATTCAAAGTACTTCTATAATTACTACTGGGTAAAATGTCTGGCATATGGAGGGCATATAGACACTACAGTTAAGAAATGGTGACTATAAATGAGTCCACTATTTAAATACATTCCTCAAATCTTAAATAATAACAAAGGCATGTTTTCCATATTGCTCCAAGACTATGTAGTTGACTCTTGAACAACACAGGTTTGAACCACACAGATCCATTTACATGTGGATTTTTTTTTCATAGTACATACAGTACTATAAATGTATTTTCTCTTTCTTATGACTTTCTTTTTTTTCTCTAGCTTACACTATTGTAAGAATACAGTATATAATACATGTAATATACAAAGTAGGTGTTAATTGTATCAGTAAGGCTTCTAGTCAACGGTAGGCTATTAAGTTTTGGGGAGTCAAAAGTTATGCACAGCCCTAGCCGGTTTGGCTCAGTGGATGGAGCGTCGGCCTGCAGGCTGAAGGGTCCCAGGTTAGATTCCGGTCAAAGGCATGTACCTTGGTTGCAGGCACCAGTTGGGGGTGTGCAGGAGGCAGCTGGTCGATGTTTCTCTCTCACTGATGTTTCTAACTCTCTATCCCTCCTCTCCCTTCCTCTCTGTGAAAAATCAGTAAAATATATTTTTTAAAAAAAGTTATGCACAGATTTTCACCTGTGCCGAGGGGGGGAGGGATCAGTGCCCCTAACCCCTGCATTGTTCAAGGGTCAACTGTAGTCTCAAACAAACCAGGGAAAAAAAGCCAAATAAATATTTTTATAAATTTTTTTATTTTGAACTCTTAAATGAAAACTAGCATACTTCCATAAAGTGAACCAATTAGAAGTACACTGAGTAAACGCACCGTTGTCACTGTAATCAGCAGGGGCTCAGTTTTGAAACAAGATGTCCACACATCTTACACTGTACCTACCCTTCCAGGAAGAACGACTGCTTTAACCACTCGGGATATGCCCAGGTCATAGAGACAGAGGACACTCCCTTCTGCATCTTCCAGTCCAATCAACAATCCGCTTCTCTTCTGCCAAGAGAACTCTTTCACAGCGAGGATGATAGGTGACTCGTCACTCAGTCCACTGAATCTATACGCAGACAACCGCTCTCCTGTTATAGAGTGCACTACCTCAAGCTGTGGGCCACAAGTCAAGTAAGCAAGTCCATTTTTCCCTGGAAGAAAAAAAGCAAACATGTTGCTTATTTTAATATTATATGTGTACAACAAAACTAAAAACTTTTACATACATAATCTATATATATAGAAAAGCCTAATATGCAAATTGTCCCCACAGGAGTTCAACTGGGAGACCGATCGCTTGCCATGACATGCGCTGACCACCAGGGGGCGGCGCAGAACGAAGGAAGGCCCCAGCTGGCAGCCAGAAGGCCCCAATTGGCCCTGATTGCCAGCCAGGCCTAGGGACCCTACCCATGCACCAATTTCATGCACTGGGCTTCTAGTATAATAATTATAAATAACCAGTAAAGGCACCATGCTATGCAATTAAATGCATTATCTCATTGACTCCTTGTTGAACCTCAATACAGAGAAAAGGCAACTAAAGTTTCATACAGTGAAATAATTTGCCCAAAGACGAACAGCTAAATACCAGGGCAGAAGTAGATCCCATTTAAGTCCAAAGCTCATATTTTAACTACATTATACCTTAAGAGTTAAACTAAGTGTTCTAAAATATAACATGTGACTCTATTCCAGAAGAATTCAAAATCTAACTGAGAAGACAAGACCTAAGTAGCATAACAAAAGGAAGTATCTATCAGAAGCCCTTCTAGTCATGTGTGGATTTTACTCTTCATGCAATTTAAAGTAACTAGAGGGTATTAAGCAGGACAGTGACAATCTGATTTCTGTTTTTAAATGTGCTGGCATGGTGCAATGGATGAGCATTGACCTATGAACCAGGAGGTCAAGATTCGATTCCCAGTCAAAACACATGCCTGGGTTACGGGCTGGATCCCCAGTAGGGGATGTGCAGGAGGCAGCCGATCAATGATTCTCTCTCATCATTGATGTTTCTATCAAACTCCCCCTCTCCCTTCTTCTCTGAAATCAATAAAAATATATTTAAAAGTAAATAAAATGAAACAAATGTTACTCTAGCTGTTAAGCAGAGAATGGACAGTAAGGGGGAAGCATAAAGAAGTGGGGAAATGATACCTATGCTTGGTTGGTGATCAATAATTGGGAAAAGTTGATTGACTGAAGATTCATCTTAGAGTCAGTACTAAAAGACCTGCTTGCTGATGAATAAGATATGGGAGGTAAGTAAAACAGAAGAATAAAAAACAGACCCTGAATTTTTCCTTGAGCTGCTAGATGGACGGTAGTAACTTTTATTACTAAATTTTTGATGTCTCTCATGCATCTAAGTAGATAGATAGTTGGATATACTAGATTATAGCTGAGGGGAGGCTAAATAGTTTAAGGAAGTAGTATGGCACAGTGGGGACATAGAAGGCATGGGTTCAAAGCTCATATTTACCACCTGCTATCTAATAACTTAGAACAGGTCTCTTATTTGATTCTCAGCTACACACAATAGTAATTACTTAGAAAAGTCTACTATTTACCTCAGTGAAAAGTTGTTACAGTAAGTACTGTTCAAGAGAATAGCACTGTAAATAGCTAAATGACCAATACAAATGTTTCGCTTCTCTTTCTCCTAGGAAGGAGGGCTGTGATATTCCCTTTCAGAAAAGTCTTCTGCGGCCCTGGCCAGTGCGGCTCAGCTGGCTGAGCGCTGTCCCATGCACTGAAAAGTCACCGGTTCCATTCCCGGTCAGGGCACACACTCAGGTTGTAGGCTTGATTCCCGGTAGGAGGCAGCCAATAGATGTTTCTCTCTCCCCCTTCCTGTCTCTAAAATCAATAAAATCATTTTAAAAAATGTATTCTGCAGTGTCTTTCACTAAGCTGAAATTCATAATATAATGGCTTTTTGGGTATGATTTTCTGTATTATATAATCCAAACCATATATATTGAGATCTTGTTCAGATTTATGGAATTACAAAACTAATATTTTGTCTCCCACAGGGCCCTAAAATTCAGAATTGCTTTATTCATAAGACTGTTTAGGTTCTAATCCAAGCTCACCAAAAAAACTTACTAATTATAAAGAAAAACCAGCTGTGTATTATTTCTACTTTCCAAATGTAGATACTCAATACTAAAAGATATTAAATATGCGGTATTTTTAATGAAGAAAAATAAACTACACTCCCTCCCGAGTCACTGAAAATGTGTTCCAGAGTATGTAGATACGGCTATATGTGTAGTCACGGATGTTATGTATTTACTTAAGACCACTCTAACCAGGATATGCTTTTTTTCTCATCCCCATTAAAGAAATTGCAATAGATACTTATTACTTATCTTACAAATCAATCAAATTTGCAAACTTTCAGCAACATTACCTGCAGCAAACTTTCCACGAAGTACAGATTCTAATGTGATTTCATCTTCTCCCAGGGCTTCAATAGTCACTTCTGGGAACTGCAGAAGACCGCTCGTCACTTGTGCTGCTAAGTCTTGCATACTTTCACTGTAAATGTTTCAAAAAGATATTTCCATGATATTTCTATCATAATACACTTGTTTATCTCTAACCAGGAGAAAAAGAAAAGCTATCAAAAATAAAAAACCTAACACTAAAGTATGATTATAAAAAATACATATTAATGTGCTTCTGGATCTGAGGTATTCTCTCCTAAGAAGTATTTCCCAAACAGACTTAGCAGAATAAAGATTCGTTAAGCCAGATGTCCCAAGGACATATATGAGTCCCTAGATTCTTTGAAAACTGGGTCAATGCAATTAATCTTATTGCCTGACTCTCAAAGAATACTTCACACACACAAAAAAATACTAATATACATTTTAGAAAAATTACTGCTATGATAAAAGGGGGGAAAGTCCAAGAGAAAAAAAAAAAGTCCAAATCCACAGTAACACATCTTTAACTAGATAGAAAAAATCTAAAATTATGTTTCATGACCATATATATAGAAGACTAGATTCCTGAATGACC